CATTACGGGCCATTAGCAGCCTCTATACCAAATTTCAGCTCGATTGGATGATTTTGAAAAATCGGTATGGGTCACCCCTCGGGTACCTCGGGTGGACAAATTTTCCTATTTCACTTCATATTCTTTCATTAGGAGCCATTAGCAACCTCTGTACCAAATTTGAGCTTTCTATGACGATTTTGAAATTTTGGTGCATAATACCCCACCCACTCCGAAGACCCCCACCGGTCAACCACTGGACCGACGTCGCCCATCTTCGAACTCGTTTCCTAACTTTGTCCAATATGCATATGGTAAAAATTTCAAGTCAATCGGTCAACTCGTTCGAGAGTTATCGAAAGACAGACAGACAGACGGACATGACAATTACATAAGCCCTGGTTCGGGCTAAAAAGTAAAAATTGCAACAACTAGTAAACTCATCCACGGATATTTACCCAGCCTGGAAGCGAATTCTAAGTTTTCCTGTGGATTTCTGTTCATATACGTAAATTCGAACTAAACCATAGATTGTGTTGGATTCATTTATAAGGACAGTATGGGAAACATATTTTGTTTAAAATAATTTAAAAAACAATTAAAAAATTTAGCATGTAAGTTTGAAGTAATTTTTAGGATTATTTTCATAACTATTATTTAAATTTGCGTATTGTTAATTAATGCAATGTTTCTAAGATTATCAGCCGTAAAAGTTAAACATATTGAAAATTATTGACCTAAAATAAGATTTTGTTCGGATTTAGTTCACGTGGTTTAATAAATCTTATTAATCCTTTACAACTAAGTACATATTCCAATGTGATCTAAATTTATTTCTCATCGTAGTTGTGTGCCTTGTAATATCTTAATCTACCAGTTTTACCGTTAGTGCGAACATGTTTGTGCATCTTTCATATTAAGTAGCTATAAAAATATATAATGTAAACACAAGTATGTATGTATATGACACCAAAGTAGCAATCATACACTGTAAAGCATCCGGCAGCGTCACGTCACATACGCACTCCTTACTGGTATTGATACGGTAATAATTCCCTACCGGATTGTTTATAGTTTGGTAAAGATTTCATTACCATCATATTACTACATTGCTACGGTCGATATTACCCATGCCGGTAGAGTCATACATGTATGAACTCCGGCCAGTAATGATTCAATACCAGTTGCCAAAAAGTGTATGTACTACTAATAATCAGCGAGCAGCGACAGGTGCATACATATTCTGATTCCAGCGATGAGAGCCAATTATCAAAGGTATATAAGTGCATAATTTTTATCTACAATACTTATGCTTATGTATGTATGTAACTGTGAGCGACAAACTTTGTACTCGAGTACAAAGTTTGTATATTCGGGTATACTCGGGAGAAACGGACACGGAGCAAAAAATTCAAAATTGGTCTGTGGCGTATGTAGGTACGTAATAAAGTTTTAAACTTCCCCATACCTGAGAAAACAGTTATACCTAGTTGTACATAGAACCTTTTTTGTTGTACCGACCAGCTTAAACATGAATCATCGCATTCAGCGTCATATTAAACAAACTACATTCATCAAACATCAAAATATGTAAATATCTAGATCCTCATTTGCATGGGTCAGCAAATGAACATGAAATCATTACTTGGTCAATCCATAATCTTAAAAAATTCAGACGACTCACAATTCAAGGAGAAATATCAGTTTTAACTCAATCATACATATTTATGTAAGCAGAGCCGATATTTCTTACCTCTTTTACGCAACTGTAGAAGACTAAAATTACGGTTAATGAAGGCTGTAGGCTTTTCGTGTTTGAATTATTTATTTTAAAAGAATCACCTAAAATAAAACTTAGAATACATATTATCCGTTTTAATGCAGAGCTTTGTGGTCAGTCGTTTAGTCCGTATTCAAGATTGCATTTTCCTTCTTTTTCTTTGCTGTTGGGGGACGCACACATATCACGTGATCAAATAATCGCCGGTTATTATGACCTACCATGACAAGCCTAAATCCAACATGATACATGAAATCCAGATAGAATAAATGTGGATAAGACGAAATGTGGCTGAACATAAATATCGAACTGCTAAAACGTGTATGTCAGAAATCAGGACATCTGCCTGAAACAATTACCTTTTCCACATTTTCTTTGTCCACGTTTTCTTTTTATCCATGTTTCGTTCATTCGTCCATATACTTTCATGATTATTTCAGCGGTGGTAAATGTTCCTTCCTATCCACATTCTGTTGCTAATATGCCGCTCAAAACTACTCACTCACCTATGTAAATATTTGGTGACGTAATATACGGACGTTCCCTTGTACAGACTAAAAATAAACGACAATATTAAGTACAATATATATATTTTTTATTCCTTGACTAGACATTACATACGTAAGGAGTGTACTCACGTCAAACTTCACATATCTCGCAAATTGAGCATAGCAACATAACCTGCGAATTTTTCCGAGATATGCGAGATTTCGCAAAAATTTTGCTGGAAAACCATGGGATTTTCTTTGCAAATTTACCCAGCAATTGAGCTTGTTCTTATTTCGCAAGATTATTTCGCAAACTCATGCTCACCATCGCCAGCAGCAGAAATGAAAGAAATCCATCGAAACATTACCAAAATAGGTGTTCTTCAGTAGATTTTCGAGATTTGCGAAGTCATATTTTGCGAATCCCATCACGACAGAAATATTTTGATCTTCGGAAGTTTGCTAAATAAGTGGCCATGCGAAATAAGACGTTGTCGTGAGTACGCCCAATATTTAACTTTGTCTTAATCCGCATTAAACTTACTATTCACGAGGTTGAATTGTTGAGTGGAGAACATAAACGGAAATTTTGCATTTAGTCTAAGCGTATATAATTTATGCGAATTTCTCAGTTTTTAAGCACATTCTAACATTTGTCATGGCTATTCAGACAACAACTTTTTGAAAATTTTTCCCGAGATAAAAATTCTGACTGCAGATATACTTATTTGCATAAATATTTTATCCCTTGAAAAACGAGTTTAGACCACAAAATGGTTGTAACTAAAGGAATGTGGAAAGCGTTAGACGTTTGGCAGGTGAAGCAGGCGAATATTTGGAAATGTCCGATCGATTGGGATTCAAAAGGGAAGAAACTAATTTATTATTACTTCTCTAAAAGGTTGTATGTTTGGTCAGGTGTAATTTGTTGCATCGCAGGAAACATATTTATTTCCCTGGTTCTATTTATGTGCCATATATTTGGCTATATTAGCTTGTCCTTTATTCCAACCATCGCACTAATCATAGCAAACGTTTGGTTAGCATTTACACTTGCGGCAGAATTAGTTTTACTAAATACGGGACAGGAACCAATTTCAGCATATAATGCGATAATCAGGCTGGATCAAGATTTAAGTGCAGGTAGGTGCATTCGATTGCTTAAGGTTGTCTTTTATGCGGGTTTTAAATTTGAATTTGAACATCTCAAGTTTCCGTTCTTGTGGATATGTCCATATTCCATACTCAAAACAAAAATTTGTCAAATCAACACCGCTGGTTTTACTTAACCGCCATGGTTACAATTGCGATTCGGAGTGGTAATGAAATTTTTCCGTCCAGTCATAACATTATACTACCGGTATCAAAATCATAATAAATAACTTGGATACAACATTTTAACCAAGGCGGTTAAGTCATATATTGACACCGGCGGTGTTGATTTGACAAATTTTAGTTTTGAGTGGATATTATCTATATAGATCCCATATCAGTAAACTCTCATTTTGCTCCACCCAGAATATGAGGATGTGGTCATGACGTCGATATTAATGACACAAAATGGGGAAACCTGAGACAAAATTTCAAATTCAAACCTTATTTAGATGCAAGATTACACTCTCAATACTTTTTTAACATATAATTGTTACCGGCAGAGGTACTACAGAGGCAGTGTGGTTACACTATAGTAACAAGTTTTCTTCTGAGGGTAAAAAAATTGCCTCCGGTATCGGTAATATTTTTGTTACTTGAGCGTTGACAATGCCGTCTGAGAACTACTGAACAAGATTTAGCCTGTGTATATACATATGTATGTTACCCTTGGTGAGAATTTATTACCCAAGCGGTAGAATTGCATAGTACCTTAAAAAATTATTGGGTGTACGCTTATTCCTTGTATTGTATGTATGTAATATGTGGGGGGATCAGACTACTCATTAATAGAGACAGCCAGGCCAGCGGCGGTGGCACATTAAAGGCTAATTGCCGACTTGCCTAAGGACACTTGCGTTTAATATTGCGAATTCTGCCATTCGCGATCGTTTAAAAATCTTCCAGCTTTAGCAATAAACCTGTCTAATCTGGCAAACGGCATTTCAAGTAATTCCTCGGAGGTCAGATAAAGCCCTTCGAGTACTACCAGTCTGGTCGTCGCAAAACAATCACACTCTGTAAAAAAGTGATACCGTTTCCTTCCCCTGTCCACATAGGCAGCCAGGGGACGACACCAGGTTCAAATTATACAAGTGTGAGTTCAAAGTATTATGCCCGGTTATTACCTGAACCAGTTGGCGCAGTGAATTACGTTTAATTTTACAATGTTCCCCAAGTTTGCCTGATATGGCTCCTAAAGAAAAAGTTTTGTCTGCTTACACAGATGAGTATCCTGCTACCAAGATTTGTGTGCTTGTTCAGGCCACTCTCTACAGGCCTTTTTGCGGTCCGATTTCCCAGGCCCGCAAACGGTTACACTCAAAATAACCTGGTGTCAATCCAGTGCGGTGTTGTCACATATAGACACCACGCGGTGTTAATGCGGGCAATTAACACCGCGCGGTGTCTATATGTGACTTCACCGCGCTGGATTGACACCAGATTATTTTGAGTGTACTTTACTAGAGAGCTTATTATAAAGGTCCATGTGCGACATAGGCCCTTTGAATCCCCTCCCATACCATCCCAACCATTAGTTGAGAGAATTGAGCCTTGAGCATTGAAAATTGAGACATTCTATTCGTTGTATTCCTTTTTAGGTGTCCTTCTCACCGCTGGGAACAAAGAGCAATCGGCACCAAAGCCGAGAGACCTGCCAGGGCTTAGTCTCACGTTAGTCGTCAATTATGAAACCCTATTTCCATTTTTCGTAATCCCATTCCTCCTTTACTTTCAGGTTGACCCGATGACCCAGTTTTATCAAAATATCATCCTAAAATTTGTCACGCATCATAGTTTTTTCATGGACATAACTTCAAGATTGATTAGTTTCATATTTTTTTCTGTATCAGTGTTTGAATCATCTAGATTTATTTCCGGGATAATTGTCATCCTTACAATTGCCGCTCATTTAGTAGTTGATTGCATTTTACACCTGGATACAATTTTTACACATTGGAGTTGTAACGGATTTAATGAAATCCTCGGCCGATATGCCATTTTGCAAATAATTTTGCAAGCTTCGTATGAAATTACGAGTTCTGCAGTAATACTTTGCATGTCAGTCGCATTTTTGAGTTTAATCAGTTGTAATTTTGTGTGTCTGAAAATGTATGATAAGTTTCCGATTTCAATTTATTTAGTAGCGTTCACCTTATCTGTGGTTGTTTCTGTACTACTTAAGGTAATGATGAACATAATTGTGGACATTTACGAGAACGGTAAAGTTTTAAGGGCTAAGTTGCTCGTGGAATTGTGCGAGCTGAGAAATATTAAGTATTTCAAGAGAAAGTTGGCCAGTGTGAGGGTGGTCTCGTTGTACGGCGGATTGCTGGGATTTAACGTGTATAAAGTGCATACATATGTGAGGACGAGGTATTACTGGGAAATTGTGGATTATACGATCAATTTGTGCTTGTCGGTTGAATTGTAGGGTGGACTTTTACGATTGAAAGAGAAGGGGTTAATATATAGATGTGCAAGAATTTTTTAGCGTAACAATAGTAGTTGTTTATCAAGTAGTTATAATTGACAACTGTCCTTAGGCGCAATGTTTAAATTATGTACATAGATAATTACGGATAGAAATATGTATATAGTTCTAAATAGGTGCAGACATACCTAAAATGTTTATATCCATGTCTAAAGGCATTTTGGACCGGAAAAGATGATATAATTGAAACCATCTCAAATAAAAAATTGGATAACCTGCATTAATTAACAATGAGGGATCCTGGATGTAACTAATGTCTCATCGTTTATGTATACATGTCCTACTTACATTTTTACACACGTATTTTACGACATATCATGTCGGATTTACATACACAGGATGCAACTAAGCTGCAATAACCCATTTATATCGAAAGGTTCGTGCGTAAGTAACAAAAAAATACGATCTGAGAAATTGTCCGTTGTAGCGAGACATTTAAACCACCATGTTATATGTACATATGTAATTTGTTTATGGTACTATATCTTTGATTCAATTATAATACTAAATAGGGCACATTATTTGCATAATCATAATTCATCTTTGTAAATGAATTATGTGGAAAATAAATAAAATTATCTATATTATTATAACCAAATTGTGTGCAGAAATATTTCGCGATGTAATTTAATGTTTTGAACGAAAATCCAATGCAAGGATTAATATATGCTAACGCCCAGGGTGCATAAACTTTTTTGTTGTCCGTGGTTTCACCTAAGGGGGTGATGCAAGGATGAATTTTTTTCAAAAAAATTAAAAGTTCGGGAATTGCATGCGATTTTGCTTTGAATTTAATAATTTGAATTTGGGTGGTTTCCATGGCAAAATCGCATGCAATTCCCGAACTTTTAATTTTTTTGATAAAAATTCATCCTTGGATCACCCCCTTAGGAGAAACCACGGACAACAAAAAAGTTTATACACCCTGGCTAACGAAATTAAGCAAAAAAAGAAAATCAAGCAGAAAATACTTTAATTCCATGAATACGCAAATTCATACTGAACAGATAACATTTTGCACAATTAAATTAATTTACAAAAAAATACATTATTTTGCAAAGATTATACCAACTGCAAAAGATAAACGCGTGTTAAAACACCTATGCAAAAGTGTTGTACATATGTTAGTTATCGCATATTTGCTGCCAAAGATTTTCCTACACAATTTACCATGACCATAAACTTAAGAAACATTTCATCTCGTCAAAAATTTGCAGGTCTTCATATGCCAACTTTAATTTTCAGCTGACTCTCGATTTGCAAAATCTGTGTGTAAACATTTCTGTGAATGTGAAATTCAATGTGCATTTGTATATTGCTTTTATCTCTCATAGCCAGCTGTTTATTTCTAAATTTGACATTTTGTGTTAAAAATCTTTAACGAAGTATTTATTTCGCTGGCAAACAAACGTCAACTCATTTTCGACATTTGTGCTAATGAAAGGCACCAACTATTGCGTGTTTTGAAGACTGTTTATTTATTTCTCTGCAGGAACTTGTATGCTAAAAAACAATTTAGAAAATGCCCATGTATGTAAACACAAGTGAAGCATTATCTTCCATCTGACATATTTTTCTTAATACTTATTTTTCTTAGCTGAGGGAAAATAGAAACCAACAATGCGATGGTGTGAAGTGTAACCCTCAGATATGTTTGAAATTTTGTGGTCCAAGAAATTACAACAAACGTAACCGAATACAGCGTATAAAACAATTTAGTACGTTGACGTATTTTTAATTTCGATATAATCCCTTGTAATTAGAGCTTCTAAACTCTGCACGTAATTGTCTAAACTCCTAGCCGAATCGTTCCGCGTCGTCGACTTGTAAGGTCACCGACAGGTCAAAGGTCAGAATTTTTTTAGCAATTCAAAATGAAAGCGTTGAATTTCAATTGTTTCAAATACTAAGCAAAATATGACGTGACAAGTATATGTACAAAGCTTTTGTTTTAGATAAATTCTTCTACAACAACATGTCGCCAGTCATTCTTACTACAGAGGGTGTCCGCAGTTTATATGAACAGTATGAATTACCTTATAACTTCTGAACACGATGGCTGTGAATTACTTTAGCGATCTAAATGTGTTCTCCATTCTTCTTAGCAGCAAGTCTGAGTCTTGGTTTCCAACTTCCAAACACATTTCGACACGTTTCAGAGGAGACAAGATCCCATTTTAAACTCGGCAATATATAAAAATGTTGTGTTGTGACGACTGCAAACTTTGTCGAGCTCCCCAAAGGAACTTTTGTGGAATTTCGAAATCCAAAAACTTATGTAGAATATTGTCCATGAAGTACATCGACTTTATTTTCACATTATACCAGACAGGTATCAATGCTAGCACTCCACGGACGGTCATTGCACAAACCACGAGGAATCACTCAGACAACTTTCCCTTCTTCTCAGACCCATAGCTTAAAACCTGCTTCCGGTCCTTTATGCACTAAATTATTTTTATCCAGTTGCAGTTTTGGATGTAGTAGAGTGTCCCCTCCAACGTGACGACAAATTCGGAATTTTTACTCCCAACGTGACCTTCAAACAGCCTCAGACTGTTAGTTTTTTGTTTACAATAGTGGATAATTTTAGTGTTCTGAATTTCCACTTCCTAAGGACTGCTTTTTCAAAGTTGTGATTTATAACACGATTAACGTGTTCAGGAGGCATCTGGGATTGTGTTGTGACCTTTTTTTGGTCGGAGGATTCTCATTGAGAGGGACGCGGTCATTTTGCTTGAGGGTGGGAGAATTCGTGGTTTTGAGGGGTTTGCATTTTTAGATATACATTGGTCGGATTTAACTAATTACCATCGTTTTCTTGCAAAATTGATGAAGGGATATATGGGGGACAAGATAGAGGGTGTTCCGGAAGTAATGCAACTTTCGTAAAATGCATATATGCAAGGGTATCAATTTGCCCCAAATTCGAAATTGGGTGAATATTGTAGTCCACACATTTATCTAGTAGAATCCGAAAACCAGAAGTCGATATCTCTATCCGTTCCAAAATGAGGTCAAATACCACCAAGCAACTCGCAACCATCGTCTGCCACCGCCTCGAAAAAGTGGTTACGCGCTCCAAGAAATTGAGCTGTGTTCACTTTAAAAAATAAGAAATTCCAAAAGTGACGATTTGTTGTGTTATACTAAGGTATGAGCTGCAAAAAACGACTAATCACAAAAAATATCTGGTCGGTACATTCGTGTGGCAGCCCCGAAAGTAATAAACTTCGTGTAGATCGAAATTTGTTATGTCGGAGCGAAATTCGCTGAAGTACTTGAAGTTCTCACCGAACACCATACATTATTTGAAAGCTTAGAAGTTGGACATCAAATCCTAGAAGGTTCTAGAAGCTTATAAATATAGTCAAGAGTAAAATAAAAGTAGCAAGCAGGAGGGCAGAAAAAATCCTTGACCTGAAGTAATTAAAATTAACCAAAATTGATCGTCCTGTACAAGACGATTTACTGCTCAGATTATCAAAATGCTTTTATGTGCACATAGTACAACTCTCCCACCTTCAAGAAAACCATTTATGCAAAACTGGAAATTAAATATAAGCCAAAGTATCACGCTCCGCCATAAAACGGATCAAATGCAATTAACATGGGAGAGGTAACATGGGAAACGTTCCCAAATTTGCCAAATACAAGACCTATTGAAAAATTTTAGTTCCTATCCTAGAAAAAATATTGTAATCGAAAAACTTCAGTCAAAAATTTGAACTTATTTCAACACATGTGGTCAAAAATCTCAAAAAAGGTGACCAAAAACAGTGGCGAAGCACTAATTGTGAGCGCCCAACAAAAACTTCTCCAAATTTGGCGGAATGGGTGTACGGACCATTGGAAGCAAAACTTAATTAGCTTTAACCTTTGTCCCTTTCTGACCAAAATTTCGCTTTAAAAAATTCATTCGTTGAGTTTATATGTGCATTTGACCAAAGTTGCATTACTTCCGGAACACCCTCTAAGATGGGTTTCAGATTTTTGAATAATCGTTTTGGCACTTTCCGCGGCCAAGTTAGCTTCGGAAACAGGTTTTACTATTCCCCCACTTTGGGGTCACTTTTTGGGGCCACCTTTGAAGATAGAAATTTGAAACTTTGCACAGGTGTTGTCATGACCTTCGAGTCCGTGCTTGCCAAATTTGGCGCCAATTGGATCATCCGTTCGCATGTTACCCGTGTAAATCTAGTGTTCATATAATCTACGGACATCCTGTAATTCTAAGAGGTACATATGGCTATATAAACACGAATAAATCATTTCACGAGTTCTCCAATTAAAATATTACAAGAAAATTATCTTCCATTCCAAACTTTTGAAATTTTGTAGATATGAAAAGATACATTAAGAATTTCTTAATTCACTCAAGGCTACTGTCAGACAAATAACATTTTGGAATCATATTTGAGTTTATAAACATACACAGTTTACATAAACTCGGATTTGGGCATGTCAATGCTTGACATGCTTATTATCTGGTTTATTAAGTAGCTTCAGCTACTTTATGTGAAGACTTTGTCTGTCTGTCTGTCTGTCTGTCTGTCCGTCTGTCTGTCAGCAGGATATCAGGAGAACGGATCGAGATAATCGAAATCGGTTTTCGCCATCATACATAGGACCCCAGGGGGAGGATCCTATCAACTTTTGGGGGCAACCGGACCACACCCCCTTTGGCGACAGGGGGTGTGGTCGGGGCAAAATGAGATTTTTAGTGCAATTTAATCTATAGGTGAAATAGAGTAAAATTATGTGTTCCGGAGTTGTGCCACACCCCCCCGGCGCCAGGGGGTGTGGTTGGGGCAAAATGAGATTTTTAGTGCAATTTAATCTATGGGTAAAATTAGGTGAAATTGAGTGAAATTAAATGAAATTAAGTGAAATTAAGTGAAATTAAGTGCTTCCCCGATTGTGCCACACCCCCTCGGCCCCAGGGGGTGTGGTTGGGGCAAAATGAGATTTTTAGTGCAATTTATTCTATGGGTAAAATTAAGTGAAATTGAGTGAAATTAAATGAAATTAAGTGAAATTAAGTGAAATTGAGTGTTTCCCCGATTTTGCCGCACCCCTTCGGCGCCAGCGGGTGTGGTTGGGGCAAAATGAGATTTTTAGTGCAATTTAATCTATAGGTGAAATAGAGTAAAATTATGTGTTCCGGAGTTGTGCCACACCCCCTAGGCGCCAGGGGTGTGGTTGGGGCAAAATGAGATTTTTATAAAAAATTAATCTATAGATGAAATAGAGTGAAATTAAGTGTTCCCGAGTTGTTCCACACCCCCTCGTCGCCAGGGGGTGTGGTCGGGGCAAAATGAGATTTTTACAAAAAATTAATCTATAGGTGAAATAGAGTGAAATTAAGTGTTCCCGAGTTGTGGTGGGACCGTTTGGGGTGAAGTATGTCCGAAGCTACTTCCGTATGCGCGTTTGCGACGGTTTATTCTAAATTAATATGCAAAAACATATCGAGCCTTCTTCAATAGTTTTGGCTAACGGGTATTGTCAAACACGCGAGGACAATTCAAGTATCTTCCTGAAACCATCCAGCAAGATATAAATCCATCAACACGAATAGCTTATGTGCATGCAATCCATCAACAGTTTCGGTTAACTAAGAATGGGTTGAGTTCAATAGCTTTCATAGTTACAGAACTTCCAAGCATTCTATCATTCCTGATACGACTCCAGGGCAACTTAAACGCGTAAGGTTAACATAATTTTCATTTTCGAGCAATATGTTTTATAACTCTGTTTCCTAGTTCTACTCCATGTTTGCAAATTTTTATCATATTCTCTATATCTTTCTCACGAGAATTAATTTATGCATCGAAATCACCACCTATATTGAACACACTTAACGTCTTCATCCCTCCAACTACACAACACATCCATATTGTTACTGATTACACGACAAAGCAAGAAACACTGGAAGCTTTACCAATTGATGCTCCAATACCCAGAACCATTCACCGATTTCTGAAAAGAACTTACTCAAACCATACTTCCATTTCCGACTGGCGACCTACAAATATTGTTAAAACAAAATTGCGTTACATTCACGATATCTGCGGAGTTATTTCTACAGACATCCAGATCATTGGTAAGCTTGATGCCGCATTTAAATCAGTATTCTCCCTCAGCGTAGACACAAATGGACAAACAATCCCGTACAAAAATAGACTTAGAATTGTTCACTTTGCAGAAAGTATTGAGCAAGCAGAAATAGCCGTGAACTTATTAAAATCTCCGAATAGCTCGGTTTACACTAAATTCCCATTTAGAAGTGGGAACTCCCTTCTCATATACAATTATGCGCATCTGTTCATCCTCATATCATCTCAATCTACAATACTCGATGCGTTTTATGTTTGCGCCCATTGCGGATTAACTTTGCTTTTTATTAACTTCGATATAACCTTACAAGAAGATGTTATGAAGCAGGTGAATCAACTGGAGAGGTACAATATTGCAGTCCTTCCTACCATGAGTCGGAGACTGAATGTTACCGGATTTTGTGGTAACAACAATTTAAGAACAAGATTGGGAGATATGACTGCGCAGGATGTATTCTGCTACAAGAATGTTACATTTAAGGCAACCAACTTCAAGACGAACATATTCCTACCATTCATGTTCAGCGAACACGTCGCGTAAGTTAATATATTTAAATTTATGAATCTGTAGTGTTTTGTTTGGTTTGTTTGTTTCCTCGAATGGTAGGCCTTCCTTCTTTAGTACAACTTAATGACTTGCCTCCCGTAAGTTACTATGTAGGCAGATATGTAGTTGACTCTATTGCAGCTCCCAAGCAGAGCAAAGCTCCCTCTAACTTGATCCCGGTCCATTTCTTACTCAAGATATAATACTATACTACTGATGGCTAAGGTAAAACAATCCTGCCATCCTAACTGCTCATTAATAGCAATAAGGACACAAGTAGGATAGGCCATAGCCATGCTAGCAAGTGTTACTATGGGGAGCAATTATCTTTAAATGTTATACCGCTACGGGTTGGCTTTCGGGCCAGTCCACCCTCTAAATAACATACATCATGTATGATACATGACAGGGTAAAACAATTGGACAAAGATTAGAAGCCATTCGTAATGTTGTACTGTAAGACGAAAATATCGTGACCGAGCGATGCGAGTATTTACATACATATTATGTATGTATCTGTTGATGATACATTTAACCTAATGTATTTTTCACTGCTTTGGACATAGGGAGAATAAGTACGTCGTATTTGTCGACAAATTCGGCATCACTGGTGAAATATCCAGCAAATTCATGACCTGTTGGGCATATCAGCCGTACACTCTGAGGATGTATTACAAACCATTCTCTACGACAGTTTGGATCTACCTGTCAACATTTGTGGTCGGTTTAACCACATTTTGCCTTATATTTTTGAACATAAAGTTAAAGCAGGGCATGTGTAAAAATGTCTCTCTGGGTTACGGCATTCTAACATTTTTCGCCGCGTTACTCGAGAAGAGTGCTAGGATATCCAGAAACGTGGATAACAGGTTAGCATTCCGATTCATTTTTGGCGTCTGGGTTTTGCAATCTATTATCGTGACCCAACTATACACCAGCAAATTGATATCCTCTTTGATAATCCCCTTACCAAAGAAATCGATTAGTCGGTTTGACGAATTACTCCCTAAAAAAGAAAATCGTACAGAAATAATATTATTATCAGATGCCTTGATCAATCTACAAGGGCTTTTTACTGGAGCAAAGCGTAAGGAAATTGGAGCTTTTGAAATTAGCTCAAACCATATAATGGGATTTGATACCTATACACCACAATGGGTGTCGGGATACCCAAATATGAATTGGGATTTAAAAGTACTCGGCTTCGAGTTTTTCTCCATAATGGAAAAGCGAATTCGTGATTGGTTGGACAATCTAGCTGGAAACGACCTGACCAAGTCCGAAATAACAAATCCGCAAGGAAGGTTGTTCAACATGGGTTGGGAAGAAGTGAAGCTCTGGGCGGAAAGTTTGAAATCGATTGGCGATATCGAACTAGATGTCGAAGTTTCGCGGTGGTTCAATCTACTTAGTAGAGCAAACATTTGGATTCCAAGAATCGACAACACAATTTTTAATATAACAATCAGTGATTCTCTATCCCCTCCTAATCGAATAATTCCACTACGTACATCATTTATGGAGGTTGACCTTGCTAAATGTGGCCGAACTGTGCATGTCGAGCAATCGAACAAGTTTAAGATTGAATTGGCCTACTTAAGAAGAAAGTACTACTGGTTGGAATTTTTCGAGAGTGATGAAGCAATATTTAGTCGAAGCGCCGGGTGGAGCTTTCTCAATACGGGAGAATCCAATTATTCAAAATGGCTGGACTGGTTTGTTTGTCTGGTCGGTCAGGAATTAAAACGATAAGATAAGATACACGTTATCATTGAGTGCTCTCTGATGTAGGATCCAGTAGGAAATTGAACATTCTTACTTGTCACGGTTTATCGGTTGAGTCTTTCGACTTAACCAGACGGATTTTATTGTAATTCCATCTGCATTGTCGTTTCGCTAATTGTTTCATGAAGCGGTTAATTATGAGCGATTCCTCGGTTGAATGGAGAATAATTCCTGTCGAGGAGTTGAGAAAATGGAACCTCTTCAGCACTATGGACGACTACTTTTTGCAAAATATTCGACTTGCTCATGCCCACGGAATGTTCGGATTTCTAGTGACTGCGGACGATATTGTATACGTTGTGGGAACTAATAGGAAAGGAGCTCTGGGAATCGGAGGCATACTGGAGGCACCATCACCCGTAAAAATTGACCCGTTGTGTGGACAATCGGTGAAAGGTAAGAAAAAACGTTTTAAAAGGAAGCCGTACATATATTTCAAGTCCAAAGTCCAATGAAAAAAATTGAGAAAACGCGTCACTCGTCAAATGCATAATTTAAAAAATTTGTTAAATACCACTTTTGTGCGTTAAGCTGATTTTACGAATAAATAATATTTGAAGTTTTTTTCACATACCTGGAAGGTCAACAAACAATTCAAAGTCAAAGGCATTCCTAATTTTTTTAAAGATTAAAAACTATCAAAATTAATGAAAGTTTGACAGTAAAATTGAGGTGGACTCGGATTGAATATGTTTGTCATGAAAGTAACGCAAACTTGAAAACATTTTGTGTTTCCTTTCTCGTCAGAATTCGTAATTGCTGGCATTACAAGTCCGGAATTTGCGAGTTGTTTTGCTTTAACCGAGGACGGACGAGTGTTTTCTTGGGGTTCTAATTCGAACGGTCAACTTGGAACCCATGGAGCTAAAAAATTGACTACACCTGAATTAATTAAATTCGATTCTAACGTTAAAATCGGTCAAATTTCGGTTGGAGATTTGCACACTCTCGCTCTAACAGAGGACACGGGAGAGGTTTATTCATGTGGTTGGAATGCGTATGGTCAACTAGGCCTGGGTACGGATACGGATCAATATGAACCTCGCAAAATTACCGCAAATTTTGGGAATATTAGAGTGAAGCAAATTTCGTGCAGTTCTAGCAGTTCGTTTGCCCTGAGTGAATCTGGAGAGGTAAGGGTTTTAGTATATGTAATAGTAACAATTGGTGTATTCACGTCAACCGTCGGATATTTTGCAAATTGAGCATATGTAGAAATATGCTAAAACAAACTGCATTAAGTTGCAAAGTTTTATGAAATTTGCAAGGTTTCGAGAAACTTTTGCTGGGAAGGTATGGAATTTGTTACGCAAGGTTGCCTAACGAGTTTGGAGCCCTTGCGTAATAAAAAAACATTTGCAAAGGGGCACGTTTTTATTTCACGCAGGTAATTATTTCGCAATTTTATCATCACCAGTCGAAGCAATTAAGCAAATTTGTCGAAATATTAAAATGGGTGTTTTTTAGGGTAGATGGGCAAATTAGTATTTTGCAAATCTCCTCACGAGACAAGGGTGTTTAGAGCTTCGCATGTTTGCAAAATCAATTGTGTTGCTAAATGAGACGTTTTCTTGAATACGTGCAGAAAGTTTCGGCGCACATATTACACTATTTGTGAATTAAGGTATACTCGTGGGGTCATAATGGTTGTGAGGAATTAGGCCTTGGAAACGCTACATCCGCAACCGTACCAACAAAACTAATTATTGACCAGCCGATGAAAAAGGTGACATCAATTAATGTCATTTTTTTAAAATTTTTGTATGCATATTTCTAGTCAAGTCTTAAAATATTTTTAAATTTAGATTGCAAATGGGTCATACCACACGCTTGCATTGACCTTAAGTGGAGAAATTTATGCCTGTGGTGATAATGCAAGTGGACAATTGGGCACAGGAGATACGACGAGGTTATCCGTGCTAACCAAGTTATCAACCGATGTGGGAATTTTTGAAGATATTTCCAGCATCACGGGGATCCAACAAAGTTTGGGAAAAGTTGCGGATAAAATTTTTGCATGGGGTGAGATAAATGAAGGCACAAAATTTGTTAAGCCGACAGAATTAGCGTCAAATTTATCAAATTTTCCACATTGTGTGTCTTTCCTTCAAGGAGCGACACAATTCATGTATAAATCATTGCGTGGGTCAGATTACAAATAAATTTTATAAATTTTGAACATATACAATGCGCACTTATTTGTATTATAAATCTTTGTCATGTAAACGTGCTCTTAATACATGCATGTAATTATATGTAGTAGCTTATCCTACTTTAATGAATCATTATATGTAAATACTTACATAATTAAATTAAATTCCTTAAGTAAACAAGGTTCAAATGACAGAAAATTAAGACATTTATGTACGCAAACTTCTTGTAGATACGTGCATACGAAACACAGATAAACAAGTATTTATACTGATGCATATTAGAGCGTGTTTAATTTTATGGAAGTGACAAATCAGTACACAACACTGTGTGGTAAGTATGTATATGTATGTATGCTCTTAAAAATGTTCATTTAATTTCACTTATCTCCAAATCTTACATATGTACATATCTCTTTATTAATACGTAAATTTCATGAGCGAAAGATGAATAAGTGTCCATTACGTTAGGTCGAGGTTATTTTTCCATATGACGCAAGAAATGTATGCATACTTATCAATATTGGAAACACAGAGATATGTAAATATATACATACGTACGTATCCATTTATGTTCACTTTAGTCCCTCGAAATAAAAAGAGAAGAAAGAGTTTGCGAAATTTTTTTTGCACTAGTAAACTTTTATCTGTGCCAAATCACAGCCACCAATTTGAAACATTTTAACGGTAATATAGGTAGGTTTTTTAGCTCATTTTGCTGCGGACAGTATGTATCATTGAATTACAGCTAGCTCCTGCATAAGGATGAACTTAAATCTGCTAAAATTAGCCATTTTCTTCGTTCTGTGTTGGGCACATTTTGTGTCTGGAGGTACAAAACAGTTATCAATAATTATATAACAGCTATTTTATCAACCAAAATATGTAAAGCGATATTTTAATATTCCTCTATTTATATAGCTGGGTTTGGTCGATGTCCACGAGGTCAATATTTCTCCTTGCAGCAAAATAGATGCGTTGCGTCCCCTGTGACACGTCCTGGATGAAGGAACCCTAATCACGCTAACAATGAATGAAGGTCTACCAGCGTGCAATCTCCAATTTTTGATAAAACCCGTGTTAATCGATCAAAAATTTAATTATCATGAAATTTGGCAAAGATATTATCTGATAGAGCACAAAGAATTATTGGAATTTGCCAGAGATAGTTGCATCCAAAGGTGCCATTAATTTGACAAATTTTATACTTTCTAAAATATACTGTCAATTTATAAAAGATTAGAAATAAATAATTCAATTCGTCCTCAAATTTGTACCGGTTAATTTTTCGAATTTAATAAAATGTATGTATTATTTGGAAAAGTTGTGTGTAATTAGTAAGTAAATCGACATTTTTTACGTGAGATATACCTAGGTACATATTTGTGCAAGATGAACAATTCTTAAACATGATCTCATTAATTTATTTGCGAAAAGACGTAACCTAAAATTGGAAAATAGCGTGTGAATATACTTTCCACATGTAAATACTTATATATTTGTTTTGGGAATCAATAGTAGTGGAAATTTTCACATTGCGGGCATCAATTCACAACTTAAGTTAGAATTCAGTGTGTACTTATTCCTCAAAAGGCCTACATTACTTTTAAGTATGTACAAAATATTTTTTCGTAGCAAAATATGCGACAAAGTTCACACTTAAATATATTATTACATATTCTGATATTTTCCTTATGGGTGTAGACAGATAAAACAGGGACGGAATAAATTCAGAGCGAAATTCCTTCTGGAATTTTTAACTTGGCCTGTCAAATATTCAACCCTCGCGTCTCGTCATAACTGGGTTAAATTTATCCCACACATTTCTCAGAAATTAACCAGGTAAGAAAGGGCCCTTTCTTTTTCGTGGTGCTTCTCAAAGGGTCACGACCACGCCGTCCTCCTTAAATAATGTAACGCATCGCTACCTCTGTCTCATTACGATTCCAACCTTTTTCCAGTAAAGTGCTGAGAATATAGCTTAAAGTTTGACATCAGTTCACTTACAGAAATATTAATTGCATCAAATATAAATTAATTTTCTGAGTGGCGTAAAGTTAAGTGGAAACGTTAAATAAGGAAAAAATACTTTCTGTTTTCTTACAAAATTGGAGCAGAAATGTCGCAATTTAAATACGGTAAGTGTATGATTAGTTAATTTAGTTGATAGTCATTTGCATAGGAGGATTAATAAAAAATACGTTTTCAATTATTAAATTTTAGTAGATTTATTTAGTACTCGAATTAAAATTTTAGTGAGCGATTAAATTTAAAAGTAAGTCTTTAGGATTTTACCTTACTGTCCATTAAATTCAATGGCGTATTAGATGAATAAAAAGTTTGATTAAAAAGTTCCTTCAAGTAAATAATAAATTTGTTTTTGAAATTTGACATGTTGTAATAATTGGGGAATTTTAAAAAATTGTATATTTTTCATTGCAGAAAATCCGTCTTATTCTAATTACACTATTGGGTCACTCATATCCACCTAAATTCCTGGGTACAAAATTTGCTAGAACTTTTCAACAATCTTATTCTCTCGAGGTAAGGAAAATAGCGAAATTGTTATTGCTGGTTTTAGGTGCTGAGCTTTGCATAGCACGAGTTGAATTTTGCTTAAATATTTTTAGCAATACAGAATTTTAATTGGCCCCGAAATATGACGAAATGTTAACTCTCTGAGTGTTTTTTTAAAATAAAATCAATAAGCTTGCTTGAATTTAATTTACAAATTTGAGAAAATTAAAAAAAACGCGCATGCACTTTAAGAGGATTTGTTTTTAAATAAATTCAGAGTTACTTGAGATAGGATAAAGCGTACTCCTGATTTAGTACTGAACCTAATATAAAATTAAGAGTGCAAATATTTACTTTTCGAAAAAGTAACGTTAGCTTTAAGTATAGAGTAGGTTGTGTATTTACATATGTACATGTTTTTCATGTAATCATAATTATTTTTTGTTCTACAGCTTCAACAGATCCATGACTGGCCCATTCCCCCAACCGGAAATTTACACACTGAAAAAGGCAGGAAATGACTTCAACAGCGCATCACTTTAGTTATGGACTACCCTCCGTGAAGACCTCCAATTCATAATTCGCATCGTCCTCCTGTAACAAGTAATGTATCATCTTCTAATTCGAGTTAAATAGGTTTATCCACCTCAAAAATAGAAATTTGCAGGGATCTCTTTATCCCAAAAATTAGGGATGACGACTTACATAAATTACAGAATGAGCTTTTAATTATGACAATTTTTCTAAGGTATTTGCAATTTTCCTGCGAAATCTTGATACCTAATTAAATTAGATATAAGTTTACATATGTATATCTCGTCCAACTTCTGCAGCCAAAGTAGCAACCCAAACGCACCTGAAAGTATTAACATTAATTATGTGATCAGATTTTGCTAAATTTTTAAATCGATTCGTTAAATGGGCTAGAATTAGCAAAATCTCATGATCGTGCGATTTTTACCTACACAAATACACAGAAACTTCGCCAAAACAAACATTCAAAACGTTATAATTTTCTCCGAAAAGAACATTAAGTCGAAAGTAATATGAAATGCATGAACTTAGGAGGAGAGCTTCACCACCTGCCCTTCACAGATCTTGATGTCCTTCGCATATGTGATAGGGTCTCATGAGTGTACTAAAACCCTGAAGTGGTTCGACTCCATGGCCACATTTGCGCCCGCCACACCCACTCAAAGGGATGAAAACCACAAAAGTTACCAACTTCAAAAATCCACCAAAAATCCAATTTTAGTCGGATTTTGATAAAATTTACATTTTTGTTATCCCAGATACTTGTTTGATCATATCCAGTAGCAACCTCAACTTTTTTGAAATTTTTGAAATTTTCGGGCATTTTTGGGCTTATGAATTATTCGAAAAAATTCAAAATTTCAAAAAAGTTGAGATTGCTACTGGATATGATCAAGCAAGTATCTGGGATTACAAAAATGTAAATTTTACCAAAATCCGAGCAAAATTGGATTTTTGGCGAGGGTTTGAACAAGTGAAAACAGGGCTTTTTTCGTGTTTTCGGCGCCTTTGAGTGGGTGTGGCGGGCGTAACTGTGGCCATGGAGTCAAACCACTTCAGGGGTTTAGTACACTCATGGGACCCTACCACATATCCAAAGGGCATCGAGATGTGAGAGGGGCAGGTGGTGAAGCTCCCCTCCTTAGTTTATCCCTGAACGGGATTTATGTATTATCGCGAAATTTTTTCGCCAAAAGTGCTTTCACCTAAATGGCCGACGTCCGTTTGTAAATTTTGCATTATGTTAACTACCCTAAATCCAAAGTAAGCTTTACTTTTTATAGTTTTTATCTAATTAACATAAATCTGATTCAGTATAACTAATTTAATTTAGAATTGAGAGTGCATTCATATTTGAAATATATTGCATTATTCTTAGGAGTGTTTCATTTTAAGAAATGAATAATAAAGTTAATTTAATTACCAAGCTCCGTACTTTGCATGGGAGGCAACTCGTTAAAACTGTAACATGCTCATGGTACATCTATTTAGAGCACGTGGGGTTAATTTTGCAATTGCAAAAGTATTTTACTCTAATATATTCGCGTGGAAATCTGTAATCTGTTCACGTGAGTTTACATATATATCTGCCTATTTACTCCAAAACCATAAAGCTTTTATTTGGGTACACGTTCCCTGTGGGCACGGGGCAGGTTGACCATTTAAATTAGAGAACATGGTCTTTGTAGTCTTGAAATGAGTAGTCTTGTTGCCCTGGCCGTGCAAGTTTGACAGCTTGTCAATAGATGTCGGAATTCTCCAGACACCTGACTCTTTAAGTTCACCTTTATTTGCTTACTGAGAATGCCAGAAACGTAACAAAATTATGTCAAATTCCATGATATCTGCAATTTTCTTAGGACATCTTTTCAATTAAGTTACATAAAAACAGTGTGTGCAAAAAGGCAGCCTTTTTGCTTTTTCTGCATGCCTTTTTGCCGTTTTGCCTTTTTCAATGCCCTTTTGCCTTTTTGATGCCTTTTTGCCTCTTTGATGCCTTTTTGCTCGATTTTTGACGATTGAACCCGATTTATTGTCGTTTATAACATATTAAAGAAATTGCAGAATCTGCAATATGCTTTTAAAATTGTATTGGAGGGTTCTGACTTTCATCAATACTTCAAATTAGTTGAATACTTTTCCCCAAATATCTTCAGCGTTGTTTCTACATCGCCATCAGCTTAATTAATCAAATTTTGACACTAGAGCTCATATTTGCGAAAAGTATTAAAAACGCAATGAATAACTTTCACTTTAATTTTATCACGGGACTCTCATCTCATCTCGCCCCAAAATAGCAAAAGGGCAAAACGGCAAAAAGGCACAGATTTTTGTGGGACAAAAAGGCAAGGAGGCAGGCAAAAAGGCACTGCCTGCCTTTTTGCTCTGCACACACTGCATAAAAATATGTCGTCCAACTTTTGTAAGCAAAATTCTCAGTATTAATATTTGTTTCACCAAAGAGTTTGGTCGCCCCATTTTTATTATTTTCTGTAAACATTGATAAAAGGTTCACGGGTAGGTTAGATTCGTTAAGTAATTGGACACGTGTACTTTAACACGTGCTTCTTAACACGTGTACTTTAACACGTGCTTCTTAACACGTGTACTTTAACACGTGCTTCTTAACACGTGTACTTTTTTGCATGCTTTGACGAAACCGTTTAGTATAACGTTTTGCTCACGAATTCGCCCTACTTACTTATTTGCTTGGACATATGTAATAATCCTGATCGACTTAGCGTACTTTTTATCAACCTGGATCATGAAGATGATTTTTGGGCGATTTACTTTTTTGGTAGTTTTTTTCTCTAATCAATCTGATCGCTTATGGGTAAAGACCAACGTCTATTGATTATCTTGTTAAACGCTACTACAATAGGCTAAAAAATTTCAAATTAGTGCTGCATGGCGCTATCGTGTACGATAAGAACATGTTATTAGATACACAAGTTATTGGTGATGGAAAACGGTTTGTGTTTAAGCTCCGATATGCTTGAGGATTAAACATTCCTTATTTCTGTGCATTCATCGAATGTATCTACCAAAATAACAACACGTGGGGTTGTTCTTGACGTTGAGTCAGTGACAGCTATGTTACTAATCGTAGGAAAATTGGTTTCGTGTGTTGATTGAATAAGTATGGGTGTTCGTGCCCTAGCTGAATAGCCAGAATTCATAGGATATGTATGTATGTACTCATGGATGGCCTCTTCCGAAGAAGAATTAAATTAAATTATGGTTCTCGATTGGCAATTGGAACATATTGTTAGAATCCGTTACTACGTACATTACCAACTCACACCATGACATTACATCTTTTTTGCGATGATGACGTTAAATCTTGGAAAGTAATCCTTCCTTCCAAATAATCGCATTAGTAAAATTTTCTTATTAAAGTGTCGATTTCGTGCAAAATTATATATGCCATGTGGTCGATACTGCTCCACACATGGTGGCAACTAATTTGGGGCCTGTACATATTTTTCCTTTATATTGCACCATAGGTGCAAAAATATGTAAAAAATTATGATTTATTTGGTCGGCTTATACAGCACCTTGTGTGCAATGTTATATATACATAACGCATTATGTCAGGGTGACCTATTTCTAATGTTACTACGGTTTATTAGATTCATTATTTCCTTTTTTGCCTGCTGTTAAACTCCTTTCGCCGTTTAATGTTAGCTAGACGCATACATATTTATCTAACTTACAGTAAATTCAATTGCCTCTATGTACATATTTTTGTTCCACCAAATAGGTTTTTCGCCCAAGTTTGATTATTTTCTGCAAACATTGATAAAAATGATCAAGGGTACGTTAGATTCATTAATTTGAAACGTGTACTTTCTTGCATACTTTCACAAAAGTGTCCAGTATAACATTTTGCTCAGGAATTTTCTCTGCTTATCTGCTTGGATAAGGTAGAGAATCCTGATCAACTTAACGTACATACTTTTTATCAACAAGAGTTCTGTATCGTGAAGATGATTTTTAAGCGATTTAATTTTTTGGTAGGCTTTTTTCCAATCAATCTGATCGCTTATGTGCAAAGACCAGCAAGAATTTTAATTATTTTATTTGACGCCTCTATCATGGGGTAAAAAGTTTCAAATTATATCTGCATGGCGGTATTGTGCACGATAAGAGCATGTCATTACACAAGTTATTATTGATATTTTTCCATAGAGGAATGTAGCATACTGGTTGCATCTAATTAGATAGTGATAGATTTACCAGTTTTTGTCCCAGTAGGTGTCACTCATAGTCCGAACCAGTTCCTACAATTGTAATTGAAATGGTAATACGCGATTTGTAATAAATATGGTGTCATTGTTTTTCACGTTTTCCATCCAATAATGTTTAATGCATGGCAGCGCACTGCAACAAAGTGAATTTTGTTTTATGTAAATAATACTCATCCATCCTAAAACTCTGCACTATTTATTTAGATATCGTACGCAATTTACCTTGAGACACTGAAACTAACTAAATTATTATACATGGTAAATACATGACTGGAATTGAGTTTCAGCACTTAACCTTTTAAGCATTTTGACCATGTATGTCATGGCAAACAATTTTACACGAAGTGCCGGACGAAAACACAACAATTAAAAAGAACCGTCCTTACTTACATATATCAACTTTTTACGAAATTTATTGAGTAATTATTGTCGACTTTTAATCACATCGCAACGTTAAAATATTCGGATTAAATCCAAAGACTGACTTTCTCTCGAGTTGTAATTGTGATTTTTAGCCCGAACCAGGGCTTATGTAATTGTCATGTCAGTCGAACTGTCTAACGAGTTAACCAATTTTGACCAAATTTGGTGAAGACATGTATCTGGCATGTATTCAATGCAACGACCGAGTTAGAAGATGGGTTGGATCAGAAAAGTTTTGAACCGGTGGGGGTCATATAAGTGGGTAGGGTATTATGCACCAAAATTGTGTTTGAAAGCTGAAATTCGACATGGAGCGTTCTAGTTGCTCCTAATGGAAGAATATGAAGTGAAATTGGAAAAATTTTTCAATCGGAGGTACCCGAGGGGGTGACCCATACCGATTTTTCAAATTCATCCAATCGAACTGAAAATTAGTATAGAGGCTGCCAATGGTCCCTAATGGAAGAATATAAAGTGGAATTTGTGAAATTTTCATATGCCGGGATCCGTTGAGGTGACCCATACCGATTTTCATAGTTTGTCGCAAAAAGCTGAAATTCGGCACGACGATACTGGCTTCGCATGAAGTCAAAGATGAACAATAAGTAACCAGAGGGGCACTAAGGGGTCTAAAAGCTTCAGGCACCCCGAGTTTTTTGAGGTATTGTGGTTTTGTGGGTTTTGGGGTAGCAAATTTGAGCAATACCCACGGGTTGTCGGGGTTTTCAAATTTAAAAAGTACGCAATATTGTTGGAAAAGTATATCGTTTTCACAACGTAATGCATGAGGTACTGACTCAATTTTTCCCTAAAAACCCCGACTACCCCGAATAACCCGACTACCCGCAAACCCCAGGTAAAACCCGTGGGTATGGGTTTTCAATAACAGAACCCCAGGATTTTCCTTACATTGGAGA